ATGAGACCTTAGCTAGGTCACCTCTCCCAATTGAAAAGCAGGGCTAATTCAATCCCACGAATTAATTTTATATAATTTGATAGCCCATGAATTCATTCAAAAGATATAAAGAAAGTAATAAAGGTGGAGCATGATTATGTATAGCTATCATTATCGCTGCACATATTTTGTGATCGTGTGTGTGTGTGTGCTGTCGTGAGATACATGTTGAATAACTGTTAAGTTGCTAAATGCGAGTATACCTTTAATTTGCTTATTTGTGCCACACTAGTATATTTTTAAACTTATGTGCTTGGTTTATGAGATTGTATAATCTTGCTCTTGTGGCTTAATATTTTTTCAGGAGACATTATGAATTCAAAACAAAGGGAAGCAAATGAAGCTAGAGACACTTAGTTGTTGTAATGTCTCTAGTTGCTCTTAATGTGTATTTGAACATTAGGAGTCATTTGTATAGATTATATTATTGCTTGTGTATAGCCTGTGATGATGATGATTTGGGCACTTTGGCATGGACTTTGTATGTTTTGAATTGGGTTGAGTATTATGTAGATCCATATTACGGTTTGTTCAATGAGAGAATTGCTAATTATAGTTTTAGTAACCTCCTAGTTAGTGGTAAGCCCAAGGGGGAGACTTGAATGTGTTTAACTTGAAGATGCAAGTAATTATTATAAATGTATTTTTATGCTTGAAAATAATTATAATAATAACAACTTAAGAGGGGAGACATTAAACTTTAGTGCTTTAGCATAAATGCTTATTTTAGCACCATGTATTTTAAGATCCTCATTTGATAGCGGGTTTGGATGAAATTGAGGCAATAAGTAAGATATTTAGTTTATTTGTGTGTGGACTCTCGAATCACCTTAAATAGAAGGTCAAGTGAAACTCGTGGCTAACAACAAGTGCGGCATGTGTGTGTGTGTGCATGCATGCTCACGCGCCCGTGTGAAGCTGTAAGTCTCGATGAGCTGGTTGTTGTACTATAAGCTATCATAAACGTGTAACAAGCCATGGCAAGTGTGTCAACTAAGCATTAGCCTCAGCGAAACTCCTAGCCACGGTGAACTTACACAAATTTCTTTAATGATTGTCTTGCCCTTTATCTTTCCTTTTTCAATGTTAAGTTATGTATTTCATATTTCCACGTGTTTTCAAATAGTTTGATTCTTGTTTGATTGAACTCCGCTATTTAATCTAAAGCAATTTTGGGTTCCTAATCTTTTGGTCTTCTTTATAAAATAAATATTCGAATTTAACCATGGTTGATCCTTATAATTAAGGGTTGTTGGTTGGCTAAGTTAATTGAATTAATGATAGAGGTTATTACACTACCAATGTCAACCAAGACAATTGACTTAGGGAAATATCTTGGGGTGTAATTACATTGAAAACCAATTAGGAGAGTGACATTTTTTAATGTGGTCGATAAAGTCAAGTGGAGGATCACAAGTTAAAAGGTTAGTTTGCTGTCTTTAGGAGGTAGAACAATTCTAGCTCGATCTATAAGTTTGGCCATTCTTAATTATATTATGCAAAACTCTCTCCTTCCAATTCATACTTGTGAGCTGCTTGATAGAAAGAAAAAAGATTTCCTCAAGGGAACTACTAAGGAGAAGTAGAAGGTAAATATTATTTCATGGACAGAGGTTTGCTAAAGCAAGAAGAATAGAGGTTTGGGAATCTCACAACCTAATCATAAAGTTAGGCCTCTTTAATGAATTTGGGTTGGCATTTAATGACAAAATGAACACTTTATAGGTACGAGTTGTTAGAGAGAAATATAAATGTGGAAATGACTTGATCCACAAATAAGGAAAGATAGACCAGGCTTTAATACTTCTTACACTCGTCATGGAGTTAGTGCAGAGATTCAACATTTGCTAAATCATGAATGGGATATTTCTATGTGGCATGTTCTCAAAAAAGGCAATGTAGTAGCTGACCACTTAGCCAAACAAGCCCTTCCTGGATGTCTAGGACTAAATACATTTATGCCTCCTTCTCCTACTATAGCTAGACTTATTGCTTTGAATTGTAACAATACACTTGACCGATAGGTTGGGTCTACTTTATCTGCTAAGGAAAAAAAAGAAAAGAACCGTAAAGAAGGGATTAACTAAAGTTTGCGCGAGTCAGCAGCATGTCCAAAAATTAAAAAATGTGGGGACAACATAGTATACATATATTTTATGGGGCATTAAAATTAATATTGTTAGAATTGAGAATTATTTATACACATTATATATGTAAACCCAAGCAAGATGAATCATTTGTGTGTATATTATAAGTAGGTTCATGGTGTGAGTAGTAGAGGCTTCAGTCACTTAATTAAGTTATTAAAGGTTTGAACTCTAGCCTTATGTACACTTAGGTCAGTTGCTCAAAATTCACTTATCTTAATTTAATTGTATAAAAATATATAGATACAATTTAAATACATATTGTTATATTTAAAGAACTTGTTTTCAATTAAATAAATATAAATGGCAAAAAAAAATAATAAATACAAGTGAATCTTTTATATACATTATTTATTCCATAATCAACTTTTGTTATTAATGTTATTAACACTTTAAAATTCCATTCTTTTTATTTGATTGGAGAAAAATATATTCAGTACAAAATATTAAATATATAAGTTTTTTTTGAAATATATTGGATATTTAAGACTAAGCATACACTCCCTTCAATTCTATTTGTAATATACTTTTTAAAAATATTTTTTTTGTCCAAAATATAGGATAAAATGAAAGCACACCTCAATATTATTATTTAAAACTAAGGGCAAAAATACAATTATATCTCATTTTTTCACGGTATCAAAAAAAATTTAACTTTTTTTGAAATATGTTAAATGGTTAAAAGTTTTCCACAAGTTTTATCCTAATTAAAAATATTGTATTCCCATGTATTTATATAAAAATACATTATATCAAGATTTATAAAACATAACAAAATATATTTCACCATGACACCGTGCGCATATATTTCCGGTTGAAATTGATACAATTCAAGAATTAATAAAATCAATTCAATTAAACTTATTAGTGAAATTGCATAATTTATTTTTAGAATATATTTTTTTCTATATACTCGATCAACATCCATTACTTTACCTCTGAAGTTCAATTTTAATAACCTATTTATAATTTGTATAATATATTAAATTAAGTTTTTTTCTACCTTCAATTATATCTTGTAAATGGAGAAAGAAGTCATTGTCTGAATAAAAATTTTGATAAATCTCATGTCATTAAATAAAGGTAACATTTTTATTTAAATAATTTAAATAAGTAAATATCAATCATTAAGAGAATAAGCATAAAAGTAATTTATATTTAATATTTTTAAGCCCATCTTTTAATTACCAATCAAATGTTTTCTATAAGATTTGAAGAAAATAATAGATAAATAGATAAATAAATAGATAATAGATAGATATTATCAACAAAATGACTAACATATCAGTGCGATTATATTTGTTAGTATAAATAAATTAAAATTGATTTTACTATTTTTAAATAAATATAGACTAGAATTTTAAGAAAATCCCTGACTTCAATTTTATCATTGAAGAATGAATAAATAAACACACTTAATTTTTTTAATGTTTTCTGACCAGATTTATTTTTTTGGTTATTTTTTAAAAAAATAATAATAAAATTTCTCAAATTATATAAATGATAATCTGGTCCTTCAAAATATTATAATTTTACTAAAATTTCTAAGGATTTTTGTATCAATAAATTTTAAATTAAAAAGATTATTTTGTCTTTATTAATAAGTCGTAATTTTTTTTGTTCAATTTTTAATCTTTTGAAAAAAGTTATTATTTCTTGCACAAAAATTGTGATTGGGATTTGGTATTTTGAAAATTTATCTTTTAATAATAGAAATTAATCCCGACAAATTGTGACTTTCTATTTAACTCTTGCAATTCACAGAATAAAATTTGTTATTTCTTAAGTAAAAATTGTGATTGGGAACTTATTATTTTGAGAAAGAAATTACACTTGATAAATTATAATTTTTTATTTAATTTTTTTGATTTACAAAATAAAAATTGTTATTCTTTAAACAAATTATGATTGGGCCTTGTTATTTTTAATAAGATTAAAATAATTTTTTTATTTTAAAATTTACTAACACAAAAATACTTTAAAAATTTTAATAAAATTATGTTATTTTAAAAGATTATATTGTTATTTATTTAATTTAAGAAAAATTTTCTTGCTATATTATTTTTCCCAAAGAAGCTTGGCTTGCAAGGGAAGCTAACTTTCTTTGTAGATTGAGGGACCCGATAGATGCAAGCAGATCGAATATCTTCAAGGGAAAATTTCATTTAAAGATAAAAAAAAAATAATTTCATGTAAATTAAAAAATATTTTAAAATTTTAATTTAGTCTAAAAAAAGTTAAAATAATTTTAACGATAAAAAATAGAAAATACTTTTCACATATTATATAGAATTACTAGTTATTAATTTTTTTATTAAATTTATTAATTTATTAATATCACTTATAAATTGTATTAATTTATCAGACAATCAATAATATTAGTTATTAATTTGATAACTTTATTTATTAATTTATTAATATTAATTATAAATTATAAGATCTATTAATAATTTACAATTGATTTTAGTAAATTATAAAATCTATCAGTAATTTATAATTAATGTTAATATATTAACAAGTAAAATTAATAATTTAATAATTGATGTTGTTATTTATATTTAAAAACTAATATCAAGTTTTGTATAATTATTGACATGTTATCTCATATAATTTATAATTTATATTCATAAATTAGTAAGTAGAGCATGAAAATGAACCATTGATTTTATATAATAGATGAAGAATATTTTAATCTTTTTATTATTAAAATTTTTTTTAATTTTTTATATTGAACTAAATTAAAATTTTAAAATATTTTTTGACTCACCGAAAATTGAATCTCTTCCTTGGTTCTTAACTCAAATTGTCCCTATTTCCAACTTTCAGTGCAGCCCCTCCCTTTACAAGCACTCTCTCTCCCTCTCTTTAGTCGTCTTCTTTTGGAACTCGCTCTGATAGGGTTTCGAATCTTCATCTTCTTAACCCTAAACCGAATCAATTTGGATTTCTGTTTGAGATCCAAATCCTGTTGAGTTCTCCTTCATTCCCTCGCACATACCATGGCGACCACAATTGTGAGCTCCGCTGGTGGCTTGCTGGCGATGCTGAACGAGTCCCATCCCATGCTCAAGCTTCACGCTCTCTCCAACCTCAACAACTTGGTTGACAACTTCTGGCCTGAGATCTCCACTAGTGTCCCCGTCATGTATGGATTATTCTCTTTTAATGCGTGTATTTGTTTGCGCGTCAATGTGTATTTTGCTATTTATGATGTATGAATGAAGTTACCTCTGCCAATTGACTCACTGCGTATTCGATGAAATATTAATATAGCTATTTGTGAAAGTATTTTACGATTAAGAAGCAACTACCTCTTGTACAGATTATACATAAACCTACTATAACTATAGTATACCTTTTTTTGATTACGAATTGCTTCATTTATTCGACTGTTCCACAAACGACGAAAATCTCTCTTTTTCCTATCTCTATACCGATGAGCCGAAACCAAAGCTTTTATTTTCTGTTTGAGTAAGTCTTGAGTGAGCCCCTCGAAAACTGATGTAAATAAACGAATTTTTGTCCTACGTTTCCGAGCTATATATCCTCGTTTAATTCTGGTCATTGAATAAATCAAACTTCGATGAATAACTATTTGATTTCTTTTCTTTCAGTTGTTCTTTTCCCTTTACTATAGTGTATTATTACTACAGTGTATTGATAATAAAAACGGATTTTTCCAATGTATTAAAAAAAAAGATTCCAATGAATTACTAGGTTGAAGACAGTTTGATGTTAACAACACAAACCAGATAAATATTTAAGGCTTTCTATGTGAGAACCCAATTAGCATGACGAGATAAATTCTCAACAAGACTATTGCAATGGATTAAGGAAATTTGTTAACAATTGTAACATCTGGACGTTGAGATTAAGGTCCCAGTATGGTTGAATCTATAAGACCATGTGCGGCATTGGGTAGAGAGGAAAGTGGCAGGGCATGCTAAACATGGAGTGGTTAGTTTATGTCATTCTGATTTTGATCATTAAAGTAGCTCCATGAATGCTTGCTTTCACAATTAAGAGTATCTTTCGGGAGAATTATGCCCATATTATTCTTTCCTACAAATAATGATAGTCCATGGACCATACTTGCAACAGCCTGTTAAATGTATCTCTAATACCCATAGGATTGCTCAAAATCCCTTATTGAAGTTCCTACATGGCACAGTCAAGCCTATAAATTGCACACTGGAGGCCCTAGAAACTTGTTAATCAGGTAAAGAATGCGAGTAGGGTTGGATGAGACTGTTGTAGGATGTAGGCAGGAGTCTCATTTACTGCGAGCATGTCCTGTGTTTGGGACTATCTTTGGTGAATTACTGGTTTTGGAGTAAGGCGGGTTTAGTGCGTACAGTTATAACGATGAGGTTGGCTGCTTGGTTGAAAGCTTGGAAACATACATGTTTGGCAGTTTATATGTCAAGGGAGATTTTTTTGATTTCCAATTGTTCTGGGTTGTAGGTTGGGGATGTTTTGCATCGATGGATGACATAGTTAGCTGCGTATTGTTGTTGGCCTGAGTTACATTATTTTTTTCCCTCAAGAATTTGATGAGGTAGTGGGAGTATAAAATGATGGTTGATGGTGTGATTTATTTGCTGATATGTCTGGTGGTTAGTGCTTATTGGCATTGAACAGTGAAAGGACATTGTGGTTGGATTCTAGAAATTTTTGTATCTCTTGATGCAGAATCAGATATTTCAATGCATTTAGGAACCTACTTCAACTCAATGACATCTCGGATTATCCAGTGCACCAATTAACTATTTAGAGCAAAATTTAATATGCTACAACCTAGATAAATGCATTCTCCCTCAGCAATTCAAGTTGCTTCCATTTTATGTGCCTGAGCTTGGAATATGGAAGCATTGATATGTACTTGTTATGTTCTGTTGTAGGTCTGTTGCAATTATGTGTATTTTTATTATTATTATTTTTTGCAGAGAGAGTTTGTATGAAGACGAGGAGTTTGATCAACATCAAAGGCAACTTGCTGCACTTCTTGTATCAAAGGTATTACTGCCGTGCTGATTACTGAACTAGAATCTCTAGGGAGTCCAAGTTCTGTTAATTAAAATATTTCCCTTTAATACCATGGGGATTTTATTGTTATAGTTGACTGAAGAACAAAGCATGGACATATGGAGAATAACCCATTCAGCAAGATTTTTTTTTTTGAATTTATTCTGTTGCTTTATCACTGTATATATGTTCTCTCACTATACACTTTTAATCTTATTTATGGAAATCAGTGCGATAGTTTTGTCTGTTGCTGGCTAATTTTAACGTGCTCCCTGATCTTCAGGTCTTTTATTACTTGGGTGAACTTAATGACTCCTTGTCTTATGCCCTTGGAGCTGGTTCTCTGTTTGATGTTTCGGAGGATTCTGACTACGTGCATACTCTTCTTGGTAAGAACTATGGTCTAGTTTTATTCAATCTTGAAGTGTAAAATGCTACGTGATGAATCTCAGTATCCAAAGCTTGATACAGGCATCACTTTGACCACTATGCAACGGCAGGGTCATGTCTTTGAATTCATTTGGTTTGTTATAGTGAAAATCTTACCATTAATATGAAGGAAATTTGAATGCCGCCCTTTAATACATGATTAATTCTCATGGAATGTTTTTTATTTTCTTTTTTGTTCAGCTAAAGCCATTGATGAATATGCTAGCCTAAAGGCTCAGGCAGCAGAGTCAAGTGATGACTCTGTGAAGGTGGACACTAGGTTGGAAGCTATTGTGGAGAGAATGTTGGATAAGTATGTGAAATATGATTGTTCTTATGTTACTATGGTAGTAAATGCTTCCATAATTCTCACTTTTCCTTCTGCCTATTTCTTTTTCCGTTGTTTAGGTGTATCATGGATGGAAAGTACCAGCAAGCTATGGGGACTGCCATTGAATGCAGGAGGTTAGATAAACTGGAAGAAGCAATTACGAAGAGTGACAATGTTCACGGGACTTTGTCGTATTGCATTTACATCTCTCATTCCTTTGTGAATCTTAGAGAATACAGACAGGAGGTAAAGATATAAAGATCTACTAGTTGTATTCTTGTCCTATATGTGGTGATTTTGTGGTGAACTTTTGCCCCTCTGCTCCCATGAATTTTGGTTTTGGGGTTGTATCTTATCAAGTTTTGTTAATAACTTTAATTTTAATTTTAGTGGTTTTATTTTTCATTTAGCATTTAGTCCTCTATACTTACATGGGAAATTTAATCAGAAGGTGCTGAGGCAAATTGCAAACTAAAATGAATTATGACTAGTCAATGATCAAGAAGACTGACGTTCTAGTTTCTTGGTTCAAATCTAGTGCCTTATATATTTATCTTATGATTTATGATCTAGCTTTAGACGTTGTGGCTTTCTTGAAAGGTGTTTTTATTACTGCCCATCTTGGGTCTTACTTTATTGTGCTCACTGTACTTAGCATTTCTTAGGCATAGGTCAAGAAATTGCTGGTGAAGGTTAGAAGTTCTTGCATTTTAGGTAGTAGTTTAAAAAAAATATTTAACGACTCCATATGATGACGTTATGATTTATCTGATGTCTGTCTCCCCATTCTATTTGATAGCTAATTCTTCAAGTGAAGGGTTTTCATCAATTTTAGCATTATTTGACAGTAATAAAAGGAAATTTTTCTTTAATGTGACGTGACTTGTACTTTGCAAAATGTGAGACATTTTAACAAGGCGTGTCTAAAATTGGATGAATGAAATTGATCCTTTATCTCCTTTCTCAGGTTCTTCGACTCCTTGTCAAAGTATTTCAAAAGCTTCCATCTCCTGATTATCTTAGTATATGTCAGTGTCTGATGTTCTTGGATGAACCAGAGGGTGTCGCAAGCGTATTGGAAAAGCTTTTACGTTCTGAAAATAAGGATGATGCCCTTCTGGCATTTCAAATAGCCTTTGATTTGGTAGAGAATGAGCACCAAGCTTTTCTCCTAAATGTTAGAGGTCGCCTTTCACCCCCAAAGTCTCAACCTGCAGAATCTGCGCTGCAAAAGGCCAGTGATCCAGCCCCAGATGCTAGTGCAAGTGTACCAGATGATGTTCAAATGGCGGATGATGATTCTGCCTCTAATGTAAATGTGCCTGAGGATCCAAGTGAAGCTATCTATGCTGAGAGGCTAAACAAAATAAAGGGAATTTTGTCTGGAGAGACTTCAATACAATTGACCCTGCAGTTTCTGTATAGTCACAACAAGTAAGGCTCATAGTTTAGCACGTTGATATTTTTTTGTTATGGTACTCATTCCGAGCCTATTTATAAAGAACAATTTGTTTCATATAATGTTGCCTGGAGGTAGTATCTTTAAGATGCTCCGTTGGTTCTTATTCTGTATTGGCTGTGTTTTGCACCCAGATCTGATCTCCTTATCCTAAAAACAATAAAGCAGTCCGTGGAGATGAGAAATAGTGTCTGCCACAGTGCAACTATCTATGCTAATGCAATTATGCATGCTGGAACAACTGTAGACACTTTCCTAAGAGAAAATTTGGTTAGCCATGCTTTCTTTCTTGTTGCTTTTCTCCCCTTTCTTGAAGCTTGATTATTTTTTATTGTTAAGATTTTGTGGCTTTGAAAATGTCAGGACTGGTTGAGCAGAGCAACTAATTGGGCCAAATTTAGTGCAACTGCTGGTCTTGGTGTTATTCACAGAGGCCACTTGCAGCAGGGAAGATCATTGATGGCACCTTACTTGCCTCAGGGTGGGTCAGGTGGTGGTGGTAGTCCATACTCTGAAGGAGGTGCTCTGTATGCTCTTGGTCTAATTCATGCAAACCATGGAGAGGGCATCAAACAATTTCTTCGTGATAGCCTGCGCACTACCACTGTTGAGGTTCTCTTTGATTGTGATCATTATTTTCTTCAGAAAATCATGTTGCAGTATCATACTTCACAATTTGGTCATGGTGCAGGTTATTCAGCATGGTGCATGTCTAGGTCTTGGGCTTGCAGCTCTAGGAACTGCTGATGAGGATATATATGATGACATCAAAAGTGTTCTCTACACCGATAGTGCTGTTGCTGGTGAAGCAGCTGGCATAAGTATGGGGTTGCTTATGGTTGGAACAGCCAGTGAGAAGGCAAGTGAGATGCTTGCCTATGCACATGAGACGCAGCATGAAAAGATCATTAGGTAAATGGGTTTCTATTGACAACTGACAAGGTGCTAAACCATTGCTTCTCTTTGGCTAGATATTTATGCGTATTTAACTTTCAGGGGTTTGGCTTTGGGGATAGCTCTTACAGTATATGGAAGAGAAGAAGAAGCAGACACCTTGATTGTGCAGATGACTCGGGACCAAGATCCAATTTTGCGTTATGGTGGTATGTATGCACTGGCCCTGGCATACAGTGGAACAGCAAACAACAAGGCCATTCGACAGTTACTGCACTTTGCTGTGTCTGATGTGAGTGATGATGTCAGAAGGACGGCAGTTCTAGCATTGGGATTTGTCTTGTACTCTGACCCAGAGCAGGTTGGTGCGCTGCTTTTAATATAGTTCTCGAAGCTTGGGCTAGCCCATAACTCCTCATTTCAATAATTATTTATTCGTCTTGTAAAATATAAAAATATATATTCCTTTCTTTGCCATCAAATTCATGTTCTATTTTTGCTTGAGTGGTTGGGCTGAGATATCATAATGTTTTATGCTTGCAGACTCCTCGAATTGTTTCTCTCTTATCTGAGTCTTACAATTCCCATGTTAGATATGGCGCAGCACTTGCTGTGGGCATTTCTTGTGCTGGTACTGGTCTTAGTGAGGCCATATCTCTACTGGAGCCTTTGACGTCAGATGTTGTTGATTTTGTTCGTCAAGGTGCCCTTATAGCAATGGCTATGGTCATGGTCCAGATAAGCGAGGCTAGTGATGCTCGTGTTGGAACATTCAGGTATTGTTCCTGACTTTTTGCACATTAGGGAAACTAATTTTGGATTTCTGATGGTTCGCTGACTTAATGCTTTTTTAGGCGACAACTAGAGAAAATAATTCTGGATAAGCACGAGGATACCATGAGCAAGATGGGAGCAATTTTGGCCTCTGGAATTCTTGATGCTGGTGGAAGAAATGTGACCATAAGATTGCTTTCCAAGACAAAACATGATAAAGTTACTGCGGTTGTTGGTCTTGCAGTTTTTAGTCAGTTTTGGTATTGGTACCCTCTCATTTATTTCATAAGTTTGTCATTTTCACCCACGGCTTTTATTGGCCTGAACTATGACCTGAAGGCTCCAAAGTTTGAGTTCGTATCACATGCAAAGCCTTCATTGTTTGAATACCCTAAGCCTACTACTGTACCCACCACTACGTCTGCTGTGAAACTTCCCACTGCTGTTCTGTCAACGTCAGCTAAGGCCAAGGCTAGGGCTAAGAAAGCTGAAGATCAGAAGGCTAATGCTGAAAAATCATCTGGGACAGACTCAACCTCGGTTGCCTCAGGTACAGGGAAAGGAAAGTCTTCCAGTGAGAAGGATGGAGAATCCATGCAGGTAATGCACATTTTATTATTTTATCATAGAATGAAATCACATTCATTGGATTTTTCTGAAGTCGCATGATCTAAGTGGTGGGATATAGGGGATCAAACGGGTTGTGGTTAAAGTTGTCCACTAGTTGTTGGCAGTCTTGCATCCTTTTTTGTGCATCCAGTAGAAGTGTGCTATTGCTTGTTTGTTTCCCCCACCATTATTTTGGCTGCAGGATGGTAGGGATTACTCTCACCTTCCCCATCCCACCCTCTATTTTGGGCTTCTTCTCTCTTATGCATTGAGCTTACTTGCCAAAGTAATTTATGGCAATTTTGTGTCTATACATACATACATACATACATACATATATATACAGAGAGAGAGGTTTTAGTTTCAAATATTGACTTAGATATGAGGTTTTTAGTTTGATTTGTAGATGATTTTTAAAAATTGGTATGCAAAGAAGCCGCACAAGCTGATTACAGTTTTCTTGTCATTGTTTTGTTTAGTTCAGTGCCGTCAAACTTCATATCAAATAGCTATTTCTCTGCAACCAACATAAGAAATAGGTGGTGTGATTAATGTCAATTTATTTTCCTTCGTTCTCTTAAGGTTGATAAGGTCGATAGCCCACCGGAGAAGAAGTCAGAGCCTGAGCCTTCTTTTGAGATTCTAACCAACCCAGCTAGGGTGGTTCCAGCTCAGGAGAAGTTTATTAAATTTTTGCAAGACAGCAGATACGTTCCAGTTAAGTTGGCACCCTCAGGGTTTGTGCTCCTTAAAGACCTGCGGCCTACTGAGCCTGAGGTGCTTGCTCTGACTGACACACCCTCCTCTACTACCACCTCAGCTGCTGGTGGATCAGCAGCAGCACAGCAGAGTTCTGCATCAGCCATGGCAGTGGACGAAGAACCCCAACCTCCCCAGCCATTTGAATACACCTCGTGAGTTTTGTGTCCTGACTACGCGAAGGATCTTCATTGTCCATAGGAACTTGGGGTTGCAAAGGAGAGAGGTCCCAAACGGGACAAATCATTTCTGCTTCAATGTTGACACAAGTTTGGAATCCTGGGCATGGAAACTTTTGTTTTTAAAAGCACTGTTATAGATGTCTCATGCTGCAGTAGGCAATCGATCTGTGAACTGGTTCTTATTATTGTTACTATTTGCTTTCAAGGAGACACAGTGGAAGATAGAAGCGGGAAGCGGCCAGCGTGGAGGATTTTAATGTGTTTAATTGTGCCCCCTACGTTCTTCAAGAAAATTTCTGCAATTACTGGTCTCTGATTAGGGTTTGTAGTAGCGCTGGTAGTCATGCTTTTCTTCTGGAAAATCGGAGCGTTTATCTCGTTTATATTTTATAACTGGCAATTTGCAGCTATGTACGTCTTAAGTGAATTCCATTCCATTTGATACATGTACTGACCACTTTTATCGTATGCGAATTTGTTCATCTTGTTTGGGTAGTTAACATGCTATAGTTTTTTTAAAAGAGAATGTACTCACTGATGCGTTGCTTATTTTCGTTTGTTGCTATTAAAAGTAATAGAGGATTTAGAGGGAGTAATAGATGATGACATGAAATTATCTCAAATTTTGCGTGCATCAACTCCAGCTGGGGCCTACTAGTTGGCTGCAAAGGACAAGGAATTTTGTTATTAGCTTAACAAGGATTGTGTCAGATAATGCCCAAAGAAACAGAGTGTCTCTTGACTGTGTAATCTTAGGTATTTCTATCTCAAATTATATTTTATTAAAATTGTGGAAGAATCTTTTTATCTCCTTTAATCTTCGTTGTGGACTGGTAGTGGATTGGAAGTAGTCCTTGAAACAATATTTTACTTTATCTGAACTTCAGAAATGATTTTTAACGTGATAATATTGTAATTATATTTTTGCTCAAGAAATCCTTAATTTCGAACATGATTTGGACGCTTTGAATCGACTAGGCATACCATTTTTTTATTGATTTAAGATTTTTTTTTTTTAAGATTGCTTGAAGAAATTTAGGAAGTTTCAATCCTCAAAGAAAGACATACCATATGAGATGAGAAAATTCATATGCCATGCGAAATTCATTCTTTGTTGCCTCCAATGAATATCCTTTTTGATGAAATTTTAGTTATTCTTCATATTTATAATTTGATAAAATGCTATTTTACATGTTCAAAATTTTATAACGAATTAGTCTATCTTCAAATGAATATCCTTTTTTTTTCCCGGCATGCTTTTTGGTTATGATTTGATTTTTTCTTCCTTGGATACAACGAGTATCCCTTAGCCAAGAGTTAAGGATGAATACCTTTTGAGATGTGAAATATAAAAATATATTTTAACCAGGTCCTTTTCATATCAGGAATTGGAACTTTTGATAACATGTTTAAGAGACCCAGTTATTTGTCAATTGTGTCAGATCTCATTGGTTGCGCTTTGCTTATGATTAATATCACCTTTTCATTTCTGATTTTTTTTAGTAACGTCATTTGAAGTTGGAACCTCTTTCCAGTCCAAATTATGATCGCTTTCAATGTGGTTCATATCATACCTCTCAGTCAAATCATCTGTGTATCCTGCATGTGTGGATTTCTAGCTTGTGCACAATTATATCAAATAAATAAGCTGCGTTTAATCACATTATCTATGAATCATACTTACCCCAAACCCCAAAACATATTATTTTGATGCCATTTATATATAGAATCTCTTAAATAATGCAAGTATAACAAAAAGACTAATTCTTGACTTGATTTGTGTAAATAGCTCTGTCAACACATGCATGAAGAATTTCCCGTTAATCTATATACAAAGAATTTAATACAGGTGGGTCTCAATTATATAAGGACGTACGCGACTAGGAGGTGTGGCCACTAGGGAGAAGAACTGGAGAAGCTAACAAGAAACCCTACAATGGTCAACTCTTTTTCATAGATGAACGAGGACAAAAGTAGAGACCATGGCAGGCATGATTGAAGTCAGAAGAAAAAAAAACAGATTAGAATTGAAGGGGGGAAAAGTCAAATGTGTATGGACCAAGGAAATGAGAAGCATCCACTGGCTTCCAATTTATAATTGAGAGACCCGACAAACATTGGCTGTCACTGAGATGAGAGTAAATTAGCCTAATACCTCCAACAAAGTCATTTCTGACGAGTCAACGACCCAGAAAGCAACATGGCCAGGGACGCGTTGACTTTCCACCTCATAGTCATCTTCTTCGTACTTTAATCTCATGAATCCAAACACACATCATAATTCATGATCTTGTCTTCAGGACTCACTGCCGTATTTCCCCACCACCCCATTTCTCATCAATTAGGAAATCTTGTGAAGAAGACGCGAGAATGTATCACCAAACTCGAATGATATATAGATTATATCCTCAAATTCGCCACTAGGTTGCTACTTGAATATTTATCACTGAAAAAATTAAATCAAATTAATTGAGAGCTGTAATTGTGAGTGAGGATTGATCCCTGACGGGATGGCATAGCAATCCCGTTTGCGTATATAATTTGATGATTAGGTTTTAGTAATTATTTATACATTGGTGAAAGCATCATTTGTAGCTTTCATTAATTCCTCATTTGTATCTCTCGATGGTTTACTGACTGTGATATTGGGAATTTTAAGAAGCACCGACAAAATTACACGATCTCATTATTTTGAAATTGATAAGAGGAGACGGGTCCCTAATCCCTATAAATAATAATGGAAAGTTTCATGTATACCATTAATTCTCTCCAATTTTCCTGCAACTTTCTTATTCATCACCATGCATATATATATATATATATATATTGTGCTAGAATTTTGGGAGAGATCGATGAATATAAGATGAATCATCCAACTCATCTATAGATGTCATGTAACTTAGGTAACATAGCAGCAGCAGTAATAATAATAAGGATGATATTACATTCCAGTGTTCTCATGAATGAAACTGAAGATCTGTTGGACAGAGCTGGCTATATCTTCCGCTGTGAACCTTGAATCACCTGCAACCTGCCCATGCCCGGCCATTATTAATTCACACAAATTAATAATTAAAAGTTCAGAATAAAAAATAAATCATTTTTTAATATTTTACTGAACGTGTATGTCAAAAGACACGCCACAATTGCATTTATATACCTTGACATTGAAGGAATAGAGAACAGTTTGCTCAATAGTGGTGATGTTGGTGTGGAGGATAATAAGCTGCAAATCTTCGAGAGCAGCAATAGTCTTAATCAACTGGCCTGGTCTTCTTCTTGACAGGATTTTGATCATCGCATCAAACCCTATAAGCTTCACTTCCACATCAGCCACACAAGACTTGTTCTCCGCCGTTTCTTCCCTGAGCCCACTCTCAAACTCTACCAGCTTCATCTGATCATTCGGTAAAGGCAAAGCTGGGAAAAACGGAGCTTGCTGCGACTGTATTGCAAGAGAAGAAGAATCCCCAACTTGCCTTGAATGAGCTTCTCCCAGAAGCCTTCTTCTCTTCTGTGACTCCAAGCACTGAAGAAGCTGCTCTAATTCCCTCACAAACTCTATAGCTCCTCCTATTATCGAAGCTTGATCCCCCTGTACGTACCAAAACCCATTAATATATAACATGATGAGGTTGGCTAGGCTTTTGAAATGATATAGACGAAGAAGAAGAAGAAGAAGAAGAAGAAGAAAAGAAAGCTCAAAGACGAACCCTTTGGACGTAAGAACCGGGCATGAGGGATCTGAGGACGCGAAGATGCTCGTTCATTTGCTTCCGACGGTTTCTTTCGACGGCGATGTGAGTCATACGCTGGCTCTCTACCTCCTCGCTGGTCTTGATGGTTCTGGGTCTCTTCTTCTTGCTCTTGTTATTATGATTATTGTTATTCTCCTGGACTGTGCTTGTAGGGTTACTATTATTATTCTTCTCCATCATGTCTTCTCTTACAAACCCATGTTGCTGCCCCGACTTGTTGTTATTACTATCTGAAACTCGAGCTTCTACTGCTTCATCCTGATCTCTCACTCCTTCTTCTGCTATGTTTTCTCCTCCTGCACTTGTCCCCATCATATTCTGATCCTCTAGCGACTTGTCGTTTAGCACAGGGAACTTAAGGAAGAAAACCGGGTCCATCCCGGACTGATCTTCTTCTCCTTCAGTACAATTCTTGGTCTGGTTTAGGGCCAATTTGGGTCCAAAATCTGCAAACTGCATCACATCTGCAAAACTCAGCTTATCAAAAGAAGAACATGCGGGTGCACCATAAAACCCACATGGTGGTTGTTGTTGGTGGTGAGGAGTGTTGCTGCTGTTGTGGAGCATATAATCCACCATCCCACCGCTGTTCATGTGACTGGTTTCGCCGGAAGCTTCTCCAATCCGAAACTTCATGAGACTGTGATGATGATGGTGACCGAGAGGATACTCATGAGACTGATTATTGGAGCAGTCGAGCGGCAGAGAGTTAAAGGTCTGGGGAAAAGGAGGTGCGGCCTGTGGTGATGATTGAACAAGATCGGAGCAAAACAACATTATTGGACTGAACACGGTGAAAAGATCTGACGACATAAATATGCAAACCTTGAATTCTGCAAAACGAAACAGAAAAGAGAGAGGGCTGTGTTATGAGTGTACCGAATGATAGTTGTCGTGATCTTTCTCCATTTTATATACAAGGAGATGACTTTAATCGGAAGAAACCCTAGGTAGGTCTCTCACTCGAGTTACGACAGATCCGGAAAAGAAAAAAACGTCTCCAAGAGGGCCCCTCCACCTGACAAATCCAACGCAACAAACAAAAACAATAAATTAATTAACCGGCGATGCTCTGGAGTGCTCCAACTCGAAGTCTTTGGCAGGTGAATCTTCTCAGGATTATTGTTTACATATACACACACTAGTCATCATGAAGCTACCTCAACGAAAAACGGAGGCGAGTAACAATTGATGAGAATGATAAAAAAAAAGGACAAGGATCGAAATGGAAGGAGACAAGGGGTGGGGAGAGAAGTGGGGTCCGAAGGAGACCTCATATGTAGAGGAATGAAATGAAAGAGCGGGTTGATTTGAGAAGATGATTATATACAAGGAAGAGGTAAATCACAAGTTCACCTCCTGAGAATTAATGGGGGTCACAGGGGGCACCAACGCTCTCTGGCTTTACTTTACCGCCAAAGTTCATGAGTTTATGCTGAACAAGCTCGTCATCCCATCTCTCTCAGTCTCTCACGTTTGCTTTCGACTTTGAATTTTTCCCATTTGCTAGCCTGCTCTTTTCAAATCTCTCCGCTCACCTATCACGGATCTTGCACTTGTATCCACATACTTTACACGCATTAATATGTATATATATCACTTTGACACTCCTCCTATCTTTTTATCACACATCTCATTTTGCCATTGTAATATTTGATATATATTTCAAATAAATGAATTTATTTTTTCAAAATTATGATTTGGTATAATAAATATTTCAAAATTATAATTTTTTTTTTTTTGAAAAGCTTTATATAAACAGGTTAAAACAAAGCTAAAGAGAGTCAGAGATCATGGTCTCGTCCTGGTCTTTTTTGACGGAGAGCGTATGGGAACCGTAGAGCCGTAGACGTAGGACTCAAGTTTTTCGAGGCAGGAGTTCACTTCTCTTCGTTGAAGTAGTACAGTGAAATCGTTAAATTAGATTTAATAATCTTTAAAAATATAGTTTAATCTGCATTATTAAAATTTAATTTGGATAATTCGGATTTACAATAAAAAAATCAGATTTACAGTGAAAATGTGAAATAAAAAAATCGCAATCGACAGAAACTAAGTCCGACTTTCAGACATTATTATCTGCCTCTAAACTTGGTACTACATGGAATATATATTTTTATCCAAATTCAGTGGCGTGCCATTCATTTTGAAGTTTCTATTTTGACTTTGAAAGTTAGTCTCGCTTCTAAAGTCATACATTATAATAAGATAAATCTGAGAAGTTTGCGTGCCTTTATCTATAAAGAGAAATGTTTTTTTTTTATCCAGTGGGATGAAAATCTTCAAGTTTATTTAAAACTATTTTTACTTTATTATTTTAAGAACTAGTATACTGAAAATAAAAAAAATAAAAATAAATATTTTTTAATTCTGTTTTATTCTTTAAAATAATAATAAAAAATACTTCAAAGTTGTTTTCATTTTTTAAAAAATTAATATTTAATTTTTTATTTTTTAAAAATTTTTTAAAAAATACTTTGTCAAATAAATTACCAAACAAGCCCTTATTGTGTCTCGCCTCAAACTATAGCCAATATTCCCTTTATTCTGAATCCAGAATTCAGGCTAACCATTGTCCATTGAGTCATTGGTCGTCAGCTAAAGATTGCAACGCTGATCCATGAGGTTTATTAAAACGAATGACTTTATTTAATGTCATTGGATGTTGTAGAAAAAATTTTATAAATACCAAACAGGGCCCTGAAAAAATAAAACAGAGGAAGGGAAGTTTTGGGCCGAATGGACCTCAATGGACACAAAACTCTCATAAGTTGGGCGGGTTACTGGATCTAAAATACATCGAACATTCTACACATATTGCAATCAAAATATTCAAATTCCAAGGTTTTATATAAATACTGTAATAATTAAAACTTTACATTCCAGTATATTAAATGACACATCAGGATCAAAAGTTAACAGTCATTTTTAAGCACAAATTCGTAGTTAATTAATGGTTCTGTTAATATTGTTTTTGTGTATTGATGAATGAAGCCAGTGAAACACTTAACCGGGTATAACAATGCCACCGTCTCATGAGGCGAGAAATGAAGACGAGACAAGAATCTGCATTCTGCAATATCAAAAGTCTCAAGAACATGAATGCGTGAATGTTATAATGACTACACTACTTTTCTTTTGGCCTTAAAAAGAGACGATTAAATTAGATCTAATCCGTTTTTTAATGTAAGAAATGGATTAGCGGAACGTAAACAAGGGAGCAACAGCATAATTAAGGGAGACCAACCCTCCAAATAAAACATCAAAAGCGGAGACATTATGGATGTGAGTCCAGCAAGGAATAGTGCCAGTGCTTAGTGGCGGATGCCCTCGTGGGTCCCACTGACATTGGTAGACACGTGTCGACTGATGATGGCAACTCATGAGGATCTGTCTGGGTCCCAGGACACGCGTCATTGGATGATTCCTCAACCCCTAATGATGGCTCTGCTGCCTCGCTCCCTCGACATGATCATCGAACCTGCACCACGATTTTCTCTCTTTTGACTAACCCCATTTCACAAACTTTTCTAAGAAAACACTAACGATGCAGTCTTTCTCTCTTTCTTTGTTTTTTTAACACACATAATTGTGATACAAATTTCTTCGTCTTTTTTTTTTAAATCAAAAGTTTAAGAGAATTGAATATGTCTTTAAAGTTAAAGAATACCTATTACATGAATATTTATAAATTATTTATCAATAAAATCCTCATATTAATAAAGCATTTGATCAAATACTAGTATGGATTATGAATCAATTTTTATGAGTTGAATCAATTTTTATTATATATCCCAAAAACTTGAAATCATAGACTTCAAAAAAAAAAAAAAAAGACACTTGTGTCCCATACAGGATATGGTATGCGTCTCACTTCATACTTATGCGCACATACTTATTTGTATTGCTTCATGTACTCGTGTTACGTAGTTGTGCACCTTTTTTAAAATTAAAAATTAGAAAAAAATTAAATTTAAACATTTCAAATTATATTCAGACAATTAAAAATTTCATCTTTGAGATGAGTACGTACCAGATTAAGAATCTACAGGGATCTGTCTCTCTCTCACGCTCACACACAAAACAATGTTTTGAAGGGGAAAATCGAAAAAATTGAAAGAGACATAGAGCTTGTTGTGTTTCTAATTTAAAACAATAGAAATATTTTAAATTTATTTTCATTATATTTTTTATGTTAAAAATACACTATATTCAATTATTAGAACATATAGCTAGCTTGATCAATTTGCATCATAAATCATTATCAGTATCAGTCTATTTTTAAAATATAAAATTATTTTCAAATTAACCTAATCAAATATATTTTCATTTTTTTGTTTTAAATAAAAATTCTGAAAATTATATTACAAAATAATTTTTTTAAAAAAATGGGAACAAAAGTCAAACAAACTCTAAGGTCACCTTTGATTAATGAAAAAGGAGGTATTAAAAATGAATGAAATCATGAGAAATAGAAAGGAATAGAATGATTATAACTATAAATTTATTTGGTAAAATACTTAAGCAGGTGAAAATGGAGTTTATTTATATTATATTTTTAAATATAAATTAAAATAAAAAAGATTATAACTATATTATTTCTTGCATTAATGCATTTGCCTTCTTTTCTTTTCGCTCAAAAGTTTTCCACAGGCATTTAGCTTAAACTCATACCCACGGGCATGATATTCTAAAAAAAATTATTTTAAATTTAAACTTCAATCTACAAGAGAAAAAATAATTAAGAAAGATATGTAAAACACCACGTACAGGGAATCAAATTTAAAATTTGACTAAATTCAAAAAATTCTTTTGAAAAATATTTTTTATGAGATTAAAAATATTCTAAAGATAAAATAATAAATGCAATTAAAACTAAAAATGTTAATAAATTTAATTTTTTTAAGAAAAATCAACTTAAAAAATAGCAAATTGACTATTGGCAAAAATAAAAAAAATAATCGAGGAAAATAGGTTAGATATGAAAAGTTAATAAGGATATTTTGATAAAAAATATATTAAATTCAAGGTGGGTGATATAATTCCTTCTATTTTTTAAAGGCTTACCCATTCTAAAAATACGGTAATCTATGTTCTTGAAAAAGGTCATTTCATATTTCTTATAAGTAACTAAACATGCGTAAGGTTGGAATGGAGACGTAATTATCATTTTATAGGCCAAAATTATTGTAACCAAACATGACTTAAGTGATTAATCAATGTTGGAAGTTCGAATGCCACGAGGTGACATGGTAAGAAAAGACAAAGGTTGGGTCAGTGTTGAAGGTTGAAGCTGGGGGCCACGTTGGGGGCACTTTGACAACACGCTCTCTGTTGGAGCTGGAATCATCTTTTTTTTTTTTTTTTAAATTTTAGATCAATTTCGCCCTCCTAATCAATACCTTGTTCATCTTTCCAGGTGCCCTACAAAAATATAAACAAGAACCACATCTAAAGATCTCTGAAAAAAAATTACTCACGAATAAAGATTAATATAAAATAAATTATTATTAAAATAAGAATATGACTTTTTTTTAATGAGATTTGTTGTTAGTTTTGTCTGTGAATAATTTTTTGAGAGAATTTCAATAAAGAACCCTTGATGAAACTTATTTAAATTCAAAGCCCCTACATTTATGAAATCTTACTGCAATTCAGGGGCACCAATTCAATATTAAACTTAAAAAATGATAAAATTATCCTTCATTTAAATTAATATAAGGACTAACTTATTTCACTTGTTAATTATCCTACTTTACTTATTTATTTATTTATAAAATATTGTTAATTTCTCTACTTTAGTTCTTTCATTTTAGGTGGTTAAATCATTTTAAGACAACTTGTTGATTTATATATGTATGTTGTTTATTTATTTACAAACTATTATTAATTGCCTTACTCAATTTGTTCATTGGCTTAATTCATGTGTTTATTATCAGACTTTCATTTGATTCTATTTCAAGAAAATAAATAATTAAATAAGGCAATTACTAACTTTCTGTAAGTAAATGAATAAGTGAAGTGAAAAAATTTTGATATTAATTTAAAGGAGCAGTAATTTTATCATTTTACTTAAAAATTTAATATTAAATCAGCATCCCTAAACTATAGTGAAATTTTAAAAATTTAAGAGCTTTAAATGTAAATAAATTTAATCAAGGATCCTTTATTTAAATTTTTCTTAATTTCCTGGGGGGTCTTTGAATGTAATTCTCCTAAAATATAAACAACCGCAGCTATATTAATTTAAGGCTTTTAATTTTGTTTCTTATTAATATCATCTTCAAAAAGTTAATTTTTATCAATATATCATCATT